TGGGCGGAAGTGCAGTCGCAGGGCTCTGGCTGGAGATGGGGCTTCCGGGCCTGCGGGAAACTCAGCTCTCGCTCAGTGCCATCTCAGCATGCTGGCAGGTGCACTCTTGGGAAGTCACTGTGTCCTGCTACAGGCGACTGCTTCTGAAGTCGAGGTGGTGGCCGCGGCTGCCACGGCCTAACATGTGCCAGGCGCCCGCCCTGGGTCCGGCGTGGCATCCGCACCATCCCACAAGTCCTCCCGTGAGGGGAGCAGGCACACCAGTGGCCTCATCCCGTCCCACCACCTCCACCGAGAGGCAAAGAAACAGGTTCAGAGAAGGGAAGTCACTTCCCCAAGTCACACGGCCAGGAGGTGGCTGTGCCGTGTCTCACCCCCATGCCCACTCTTCCAAGACTCAGTCCACGGGGATTTTTAAAAGGGTTAGCTGGGGCTCTTTCCTACTGTATAGAAAACCCAGTTTATTGAGCACGGTGACCAACGGTCTAAGATTCTGTGCAGACACATCTGTCCGAGGGTGCCAAAGTGTTCGGAAGTGAGTCTAAGCCCTGGGGCTGGTGGCCACCGAATGGTTTAAAGAATTTGGTGCGAGCTGAAGCCACATTAAGGTAGATCTTCATTTTCACGCCTATCAATGTCACGAGTGATGATGTCACAAGTGACGCGACATGTTGCAACTTGGCTTCTAATGGTTGAAAATCAGAGAAGGGAATTGTCATTGCCTGCATCTTTCCCCTGGTATCTGCATTTCCATTTCTATCAACTCCATTTCAGCCTTAGTCACCAAACTGCTCTCCCTGGAAAACAATTGTGCACGTAATGGGCAGAAAGCAAGGCAAAGCCCATGGGAGGGAATGATCCGTGGGGTCAGACCCGGCCAATGCATGCTCCTTCAGGAAGGAGAGCCTGGACAATGTCTACCTTTTAGGACATTTAGCACCTGCAAGGAGGTGGGGAAGGGAGAAGGAATTCTTTCAGTCCCGGGGCCGGACTGGGACCAGATTTCCTCCAGTTGTGAGAACCATTTTACACGTTCAAACCCCCTCCTAGGGCTGCCTCGCCACTGCACGCTGTTCTGGTTGTTGGGGGGATACGGTAAGGTCATGATTGCTTTAAAACACATCTTGAGACTTGATTCTGAATGCTAAACTTAAATTTGAGCCATTTAATTGCCTGCTGAATAGGAATGAAATCCCACCGGTAGGCAGTTCCTTCTGACAACCACCGTGTGTGAAATTGAAATCTTAAGATACCATTTCAAATATTCTCCTTCACGGAGGAAGTCCTCCCCAAAGAGTTGTGACAGATAAGAAACTGACCCCAAGCCACCCGCAGCCATCTCTCTTTTTCTGCACACTCAGGCCACGGCGGCAGCACATTATTACAAGGAAACCGGGTGCCCCAAAGTCGGCCGGGCTGGGGTTCCCTCTTGGAGTCCAAGGATACATTATCTAACAACTGGCTTGAGCCCCATGCAGAGCTGAAGCAAGGGAGGCAGTGATTTAGCAGACTAAACGAACACCAGTAGAACATACCAGCTAGTCACCAAGGTGGTGACTGTGTTTTGCTTAGGAGCAGAAGCGGGTGGGATGAAGGAGTCCTGGTCCATTTACCTTTTAGGCGGGTCTCGAATTCCTGGGCTCAAGTCATCTTCCCACCTCGGCCTCCCAAAGTGCTGGGATTACCAGCATGAGCCACCACACCCTGCTGCACCCTCTGTCTGCTTTTTAAAAACAGGAAATAGATTTTTAATCTGGGGTGTAAGTTCTTGTTTTAAACCCCCATTTTACCTTTGAGTTTAATTTCTTTTTTGTTTGTAAATTTTTTCTTCTTTTTTTTTGTATTTTATCTCAAAGATGTGGTGTGCAATTCAGGATTAGACATACAAGTGTTCCTTGTACAGGTAAAGTTTAGGCCTCTCTTTGGTCCCCACTTTGCCTAGTTTGAGATCAGGGACCCTTACTGATGTGTGTCCCTGCCCCCCACCCCAGCAGTATCCTGCTACTGGCAATCCCTTTCTTAAAGTATTATGGTAGATGTTTAGGGTCCGCTTATGAGTGAGAGCATGTGCTACTTACTCTGTTCTTTGTTTCTGTGATAGATCACTGAGTATGATGGACTCTAAATCCATCCAAGTTGCTGTGAAGTCCATACATTTGTCCTTCTTTGTGGCTGCGCAATGTCACATTGTGTATATGTACCACATTGTTTTTATCCAGCCCAGTTTTGATAGGCAGCATGTTTGGTTCCATGTTTTGCTGTTGTGAATAGTGCTGCGTTAAACATGTGTGTGCAGGTATCTTTTTTGTAGTAAATTTAATTTCAAGTTCTTTTAAAATTATCTCAGTGGTGTGTGTGCGTGTGTGTGTGTGTGTGTGTGTGTGTGTGTGTGTGTGTGACGGTCTCACTCTGTCACCAGGCTGGAGTGCAGTGGCATGCTCACTGCAGCCTCAACCTGCTACACTCAGCCAGTCCTCGTGCCTCAACCTCCCAAGTAGCTGGGACTACAGGTGCATACCACCACATTCAGCTAACCTTTTTGATTTTTTGTAGAGACGAGTTCTCGCTGTGTTGCCCAGGCTGGTCTCGAATTCCTGGGCTCAAGCAATCCTCCCGCCTCAGCCTCCCAAAATGCTAGGATGACAGGCGTGAGGCACCCCACCTGGGCTGATGTCTTTTGCTATAATGGCCACCATTTATGAGCGCTTACTGTATGCCAGGTGCTTTCCTGTAGCCAGCCTCATTCCTATGGTTCTCGATTCCACAGAGCCCGTGTGCCAGCCTTTGCATGCATTAACTCATCAAATCCTCAAAACGGCCTCACGGTCAGTCCTGTCCCCCATGCAGCAACCAGTATTCACACAGGTGGTCAAGGGTGGGTTTGCATCCAGGCAGGTCAGCCCTGGGGCCACTTCCCAGTGCTGTCCCAAGGATGGAGTTGCTTCTGAAGGCCTCCAGACCCACAGGTCAGTAGAGGCTGGACCAGCCCCAGGCAGCCGGGCTCCCCAGTCCTGCATGCAACCACCACCGGGGCCTGTTAGAAGCTGCCAACCTGTGCATCACAACCTCTGCGTTTACTTTCATTTCCAGGAGAGAGGTGGGTTACCTAGTCACCACACCGCTCAGACTTGCCTGGAAACTGTAGGATGTTTTAAAATTAAAAACAAGGGTCTGATCAAGGAAATGGTCTTTGTGCTGCTCTTGACTTTGACAAGCATACAGGGAGGGACATTGCAGTCAAATCCATTAGGGACCCACGCCTTGGGACACAGGGACAAGAGCATGTGGACAACGGTGAACCCTGGGACAGTCAGTGAGGATTTGGCTCTGGACAGGGAAATGGAGCATCCCGGCTACGTTTCTGGCCCCAGCAGCCCTTCAGGGGGGCCTCAACCAGGCCCTCGGCAACATCCTTACAGTGGGAACAAAGGCTGGGCGCCGCGGCTCATGCCTGTAATCCAGCATTCTGGAGGCCCAGGAGGGAGGATGGCTTGAGCCCAGGAGTTCGAGACCAGCTTGGGCAACACAGGAGGGCTTGTCTCTACAAAAAATAAAAGAAAAAATTAGCCGGGTGTGGTGGTGCACACCGGTAGTCCCAGCTACTCAGGAGGCGGAGGTGGGAGGATCCTCGGAGCCCAGAAGGTAGAGGCTGTGGTGAGCTGTGATGTGATGGTGTCACTGCACTCCAGCCTGGGGGACAGAGTGAGAGCCCGACTAAAAAATGACATACATAAAAGGGGAACCACAGGCGTGTGAAACTCCAGATTGGCGAGGCCGGGGGTAGTTTCCTGCTCCTGACGGCAGCGCACACACGGGCCCCTGGCCGCGCCTGGGAACGAGGCCTCTTCCAGGGAGTTTCTCTCCAGCGAGGGCCGACCAAGCCCCTTCCCTCTGCGTCCCTCCGTCTTCCCAGAACGAGGTCAGTTGGAGGGGAAGCCCGGGCCCGTCCAGTCCGCCTCCGGCTCCTTGCCTGACCCTGGCGAAATCGACTCCCAAGCACCGTTCCGCGGCCGGAAAAGCCCTCCGCGGGGGGCGCCCGGCGCGTGGGGGCGCGGGCGCTGGCTGGGGGCTGCGGGGCGGGGCTCCCGGCAGGTGGGCCGCAGCCCCGCCCGCCAGGCCGCTCCCGGCGCTCCCCGGGGCCAGCGCCCGACGCCGCCGGGGCCTCTCCAGGAGCCCCCGCGCGGACGCGGGACCCGAACCCGGACAGGCGCCCGGGACGCGCGTCTCCGCAGGTGCCGAGTTACAGGCTCGTCTGTTCCTGCCCGCCGGAGCCGCTCGCGGGCCGCTTTCGGCCTCGGTGGCCGCACAGGGCCGGCGGCCGCCGGGAGCGCGCGGGACGCCCCGGGCGGCCCCGTCCGACGCCGGCCCCTTTAAGAAGCCGCGCCGGTCCTGCCGCCGCGGGCGCCGCTGATCC